AACATTCAATGTTATTATTGATATTTCTTGTCCCTAGCATTAAGTTGGTCATTTTCTTGGTTGCTTTTTGTTCTATTATTTCTGTATGTGTGTCTTTAGTTTTCCTGGTAAAGTACTCCTTTCAGAACTTCTTGAAGAGTATATTTTCTGTTGGCAAATTTTTTCAGGTCTTGTTTGTCTGAGAATGTTTTTATCCTTTTTTTTTCCACATAAAAGATACTCTTGCCGGGTATAGGATTCTTGATCGAAACAGTTTTTCACTTAACACTTTGAATATAGCTTTCCATTCTTTCCTTGCTCGCATTGGGTCTGATGAGAGGTCTGATGTTAAACTGATGGGATAACCCTTATAAGTAAGCTGACATTTCTCTCGCCAATTTCAGTATCTTGTCTTTGTCTGTGGATTTGGCCAGTCTGGCTATGATGTGCCTTGGAGAAGATCTTCTTGGGTTGATTCTATGTGCGGTCCTTTGTGTTTCTTGGGTCTGGATATTTGAATGCCTCTCTAGATCTGGAAAGTTTTCTTTCAGGATTTCATGGAATAGATCATCAATGTCCTTATTAGTTTCCTCACCTTCTAGGATACCGATTACCTGGATGTTTGGGCTCTTAATGGTGTCTAGTATTTCTCTTTCATAATTTAATGGATTTCATTTACTTATTAAAAAAAAAAAAAAGGAAAGAATTGCTAAAAAATATTTAGAATGGTTGAGTGACAAACTAAAAAACATTTAAATGTTCTGAGTCCTGAGGATAAGAAAACACAGGAGAGTGTGTGCTTATATCTATATGGAAAAATTGGAACAGGACATTCGTAAATCAAGTAAGCCCTGGTATGTTTATTGGATGAAAAATATATCCTAGATTAGGGTGTTTGCTATTAAAGAATGTGATAACTCTACCATTTCAGTTCTCTGAAGAATTAGCATCCAGTATGCTATCAATAGTAGATTTATCTAATAGGCTTTTATTTTCTCCAAGCACCACTTCCTTGTATATCATTTTGATTGCCATAATATGTATTTTCTTAAGTCTCTGGGTCAATAAACTTAGAATGACAAGATTGGAAAGTAGGTTTTCTTTTGAAGTGTGAGCAAATAACTTTAAAGATCTCGGGTGGTCTATATGCCTTGCACAGACCAATCAATAACCCAGAATGCCATCTGGTGTCAGACAAACAGTGGGTTGTCATACATTTGTCTCCTAGTCTTTATATTTCGATTTTTATCCTTCTGTCTCTAAAAAGGTCAATGTCGTTTTGCCCTGACCTATTTTCTTTTGTCAAGAGGAGGCTAAACGTCTATTTTTATTCTTTCTTTTTATGAATTCAAAGGGAAAGATTGAGTAGAGGAGCTATTTATCCTTTTACTGCTGAGTAAATTATACTTGAAACTAAACATTTACTGAATAGTACGGGCCTGCAAGTGATGTGGTGGTTAAGGGTGCTGGACTGCAACACGGCCCACTGTAGTTTGAGTCCTGGTACTGGTGGCTTGCTTTCTCACTTTCGCTCCCTCTCTCTCACACTCTGTTCCTCTTTGGTCAAATTAAAATAAATAAATAAATAAAGTTAAATAAAATAATTCTTTTAAAAAAATCACTTAATAGTATATAATGTTTTAAACTATTGACATAGAAGAGTAAAACATGTACCTTGAAAAATTTAAGAGGCACATGGTGTAATATTAAAGAAGAAATTATTCAGTGATACTTGTTACAATACAGTAAGGGGAGGCCAGCAGGTGACATGGTGGTTAAGGGTGCTAGACTCCCACGTGGCCAACTGCGGTGTGAGTCCCAGACCTGGCGGCTAGTTTTCTCTTTCTTTCTCTCTCTCTGTACCTCTCTGGTCAAATTTTGAAAAAGTAAACAAAGTTAAGTAAAATAATTCTTTAAACACACACACACACACACACACACACACACACACACACAGTAAGGAAGATCTTATTCAGGACCATCATGATAGCTATTGGGACCACTGCAATATGCAGTGGGGGAGAGGGATAGGACTCATTTCAAAGCCACTAGGGCAAGGGGAAATGCATAGTGAAGTAGACAGTGGGGGTCAGAGGATGGGGGATTACTGAGGAACCATCTAGAGGAAGGGAGATTCTGGCTAAATCAACCTGACAGGACACAGCTGGGTGAGAGTGGAGGATCAGGAACCTGATGGGATAGTGAAGATGATCAGACATTGCAGATTGGGGATTTTGGCTAAACTGATTTAATAGGACTCTTTTGTTAAACTGAATTGTCTAAGCAAGTGTACAAATGAACATTGTAGAAGGTTTGAAAGTCTGACTCCTGTGGCTTGACTATGTCTTCAAAACTTCATGTATTGAAATTTAATTGCCATCAGGGCAAGCAGGTGGCGTGTGGTTAAAGGCACTGGATTTCCATATGACTGACTGGAGTTCGAGTCCTGAACCTGGTGGCTTGCTTTCTTGCTTTCCTTTCCTCTCTCTCTGGTCAAATTAAATAATAACAGTAATAACAACAAATGGAATTAAATAAGCAAATAATTCTTTAAAATAAAACAATAGAAATTTAATTGCCATAGTGACAGTATTAAGAAATGGGGTGTCTGTGGCCCAGTGGTTAAAGGAGCTGGCTGGCAGCTTAAAAAACATGCTGTACGTGTGCACACATGCCCAAAATCCCAAAAGAGAGGGCAGAGAAGGCATCACAGCATGACCATGCTCCATGGGAACTGCTTTCTCTCTCTCTCTCTCTGGTGAGAATGTGTTTGCGTAGTTTGTTTATTTTCTAGATGACCTGAGCCTTTTCCTTGATAGGAAACTGAAACTCCACATCATTACCCTCCACAAACTTATAGGAAAAGTAAAGACAACCAGTGAAGTCTAAACTAAGACTATCAAAGCTCTCAGAAAGCTGAACTTCCATGGCCTTTCATATGGCCATCAGCCTTAATGGCAGTAAGGCTTTCCCTTCTGGGGCCCGCAGGAGATCCCTTCATAAATGAACAGCCTCCCCTACCCATGTATTTGAAAAATGCACTTCCACTCCTAGGTGCTACTCATTACAGATCACTATAAATAAATGTTACATGAAACTTATATTTCCAGAATGATCATTAGTATGTACAAGCTGCATTTCCAAAATGCCTGCTTAAAGAAACCTTCATTGATGTAAAACCTGGGGATTTGGTCATCTGGAGAAAGTACTAGAATAAAGCTGCCCCTAGGCACTGATGGAAAGGATCCCATCAAGTTTTGTTAACTGAGGTAGTGGTAAAATTTCAAGGAAATGACCTGGGACCCATCGACTCCAACATGAAAGACATGACACTTTTTTCCGGTCACTGGACATCCATTCTATCAAGAGACCTTGACTTGAGTATCCTTAGGAATTCTTCAGGAGCTGATGATTAGGTCAGTGGAAGCTTTTGCCCAAGACAAAGAAATAAGGCTGTTTTTGTGTTTTTCTGGGGACCAGTAAGTGGCCTAGTGGTTAAGGCACTGGACTCCCAAATGGTCAATACAGGTTCCTGTCCCAAACCTAGCGGCTTGAAACTCATGCTGGATGCATGCGTGTGTGTGTGTGTGTGTGTGTGTGTGTGTGTCCAAAATCCTCAGAAGAGAAGGGATTGTGGTGTGACCATCCTCCCTGGAGGGTGATTTTTTTGCTTTCTGTCTCTCTGTCTCTTCTTTCTGATTGTAGTAAAAGGAACAACAGCAAAAGGGTCCCACGGGATGCGTGTGGTTAACGTACACGGTCCACCGTATATTGACTACTGCAAAGTTCAAGCACCGCAAGACACCATGGAGCCTTCCAAGTACCATTAAAGAACGCAGGTTCTCCCAGTGTGCTTGCTTCGTAAAGTTTGGGGTTTCTGTCAGCAGAGTCATTCATAGCCCTTTGGGGTCAGTGGCAAGAGGCGAGGCCAGGATGGAAAAAGTCATCGTCCAAGGAACAGAGCGGGAAGATCCACTATTTCTATTTCGTTGACTTGTTGACTTGCTAGAGACTTTCACCTTTTTGTCCACTACCAACCCCATTTTCTCTATTTAACAACTGATGCCGAGAGAAAGAACGTGGCTCGCCCAAGGTTAAACAGCCGCGAATACATAGCTGCGCCCAGACGTGTGCTGCGTGGGGTTCGGTGTCTCTGCTCAGCGAACCCATGAATAAAACAAAACCCAAGAACATAAAACCCCAAAGCCAAGACTGAGAGGCCTTTGGCAAGGCCAGGTCGCACCAGACGGACAGGGAGATCGGGCGTTCCGCAAGTCCTCTGCAGCTCCACCCTCGCCAAGGAGGGACCCGCGAGCCACTGACCGCGCCCGGGCAGGTGGTTCCTTACTCGGGCCGAG